CCAGAACAATTAAACATAGGCAGTTGTAAATACTCTTATGCTATTTAAGTATCTCATTAAAACCAGAGAATTATAAAGAGACTGTGACCCAAAATAAATAGGTTTCATTTGGTAGCTTGGTTCAAATGGGTTCATCATGGAAGGAGAAATGTTCAAAGAACAAGAGCATTTCTTCTCCTCTTCTAAGAAAGTAAGAACAAAAAGAAAGGGATGAAAAATAGGCAACTATTCTAGTTGGTACTAGGGATGGAGAAAATACCCTGTAACCACTGTCTGGTATGAAGAACAGGAATAAAAATATCACCTCTATAACCCAGCTCACCCCAAATCACCTTTTATTTGAAACAGATATACAGCTAGTCAGAAATACTGAAAATACTTTTGAGGTTGATTTTTGACATTGAAAACATACACAAACAATTGTGTTGAGCTAGTGATGGAAATGCCATTTGGAAGTCTCAATTTACTGCTCGAGCAAACGACCTATACTACTTGTTTCATTAGGGAGCCTCATTTTAGAATTTCTAAATCACTTATAAATTTCTCCTTTAAAAAAAAAATATTATTTATCACGACATAATCTTAAAACACAAGCCCAGCAGCAGTAATTACATGTATGCCTTCAGCTCTGTACCAATACATCAACACATAGATTACTACCTCATTTCTAAGGCTAATGCGCATTCACAATCAGCTTGATTATTAAAATTAAATGCTTCAACTATCTCAAATGAGTTCAGTTTGATGAACATGGAGGTTCCCTTACTTCAAGTTTCTTTTCCTTTGCTTAAAGTCATCATGCTAGCCACTGACATTTAATTGCATAATAAACACCCAACTTGAATAGAGGCAACAATAATGGTCCTCCTTAAATGATCTTTCATACAAAAATAGTACTGTAGTGTTTTAGAAAAACTAGAGTTCTGTTTTCAGTACTTCTCTATTGAAAGCATGATCTCTGTTATTCTAAGTGTTCATTCAAACTATCATGGCTAGATTTTTTGCAAGACTTAGACATTTAATGTGCTGTCATTTTAGTAAGAATATGTTTCCCAATGATGCAAATACAACACAGCACACAATACATACTACACACAATATTTATCAGTGCTATTTATATTAACAATAGATTACATGGATCTGATTAGACTTCTGTTATTTCCATTCTGCTCTGCTCCAAGAAAAGGCTGTGCAACAAGCCTAATAATAATAAGGGTAGATTTTACCCCCAGAGGCAGCAAAGTATTTTGCAAAACTAAATCAGAATAGCACTCCATTACCCATGGAGATATTATGTCCTCAAGCTATTTCAGAAGTCCACAATGAGCTAAGGCAGAAAATACTTCACATAAAAACATGAACTTAGTACTCAGTTGTTTTGCCTAGCATATTACTAATTAGCATTCTCCATAGATTTTCAGTGTGGTTATGTTCATCACCTTTATCAATTCACTTCAGTCATATAGATTTGGGCTTTTTTTGTAATTTAAATTTTAGAAACTGTTGAAAGACAAGACAAATTGGACCATCAGCTGTAAGAGTGAAATTCTTCTAGGTTCTTGCCAGTGGTACATACAGTATGAGGAAACAATACAGAAGGACTACAAAAGGAACTACAGATTTGACCTACTAAATATTGCAATACTTTAAATCATGAGCATGATTATGTGGACAGAGTTCCTTTCAGTAAGTACTATTCTTTTCCCTTTCCCATATGCTTTTATTTGTATTCAAGAAATCTAGCTGCTAAATACCAAGCGTGCTGAACTAGTAAATCTCCAACATACTAAATTTCCAGTTTTAAACGGAAAGTTTAACCTAGCATTGCACTGTACCAACATTATTTTAACTTGAATTGTTTTTTTCATTTTTTTAATTCAATACAATATGCTCTACACAAACAACACACTTCCTGTAAGTTAAAAACTGCAAAGCAAACAGATGGAGACACACACTCAGAAAAGAATTAGAGTATCAGAACACAAAAGTTGCTCTTTGAATCCTACATATGTAGAGCTAGACCCTTACACTATCATCACACTGTAAAGCTCCTATATTCTTCCTTTACTTTCTTCTGCCTTTCACATCACACTGAACCTTAGTGTTAAGAAATTTGCATTCTAGCTTCACCTGTACAATTATGAACGCAGGTTTTGATGTGTACTTTAAACCTCATTTAAACTACTCCTTTATGTACAGAAGAAGGATGAGGCTTTGTGTTCTAAAGAAGATCCCCTGTAGCTGGAGAAGAAATTACACAATCTTCGTGCTAAACTCCATATGCCTGTGCATTGCCTTCTGGAGAGCTTGCTAAATTAATGTTTAGGAAAAGATTAATGGGAATTTAAAGGGAAGAAAAACAATCTTGGATTTTAAAAGAGTATGGCGCTAAGTACTCAAAGAGTATCTCCTTGGTACACGAGTGTTCTTTCTATCTACCTTCACGAAGAAAATGGAAGAGACAGAAAGTAAGGTCTTCAGCTCAAAACAGACAGCACGGCATACTGCTAACATTGCTAAAAATTCCCCTCCCTTCTTCTGCATTAATACTCTATATAAGAAAAGGTTTAGCTGCCAGTTTTTGAAGTTCTTCCACCAGAGTACTGGAGTAGATAGTCAAGATTTCCTTAGATATAAAGCACAACTAGCATAAGGTTATCCTTTCCACTTACAAAAATTATTTTTTCTTCGAAGTATTTTTAATTAATCTATAACAAAGTCAAAATTATTTTTACAGAGATACCCAAGGATTATCTGTTTCTGATAACTATGCACTGACAGTTGGCATCTAGGGACATTCTAGATCTTAACTTGATTTAAAATACGCAATTAAAATGCAGGTTCAGTTTTTCAGGTACCAAAGGACTATAACCTACATTCAGACACACTCAGAAATCAGATACACTATTAGTTTATATAATCATGGAGGACAGAGGGAGCCAACAATACTCCTTTAAAATTAGTGGCTAATGTACATCCATTTAAAACCTCAACCCTATAAACATCTACATATGAAATAGTTAATCATGCCAGTGAAGCTAGCCACAGGTTCAAGTCATGCACACACCTAAAACTCTGTAGACTCAGGGCTTAAAAATTTAACACAATATCTTTACTCAGAGAAAAAAAAAAAATAGTTTTATTGGAGCACTGTTATTCCTGAAGTTGTGTGCCATTCAACATATCAAAGACTCTTCACTGAACTTGAAATTACTTATGGACATGATAAGTACATTTCTACTGCTTTAGACATCAAAAGCTTGCTATCATGTATCCTACCGGAGATAATACATGCTGAATATTAATTTTTATATAAAAAACAGTTAATGTAACACATACACACTTGGCTTATTCACTTACCACTACACAATTGACTCTTGTTTTCAGGGGAAAGAAAAAAATAATTAAGAAAATCACTGCATTCCAATTGAATGGGGAAAAAAAAGCCTCTGAGATAGAACAGACAAGGAAAATCAAGTATTTCAGTACGAGGTAGGTCACAGGAACTTGTTACAGCATTGTTAGAGATCACAACCTGAACTATCACAAAACAATGGGCAGTAGGAGAGCAGCAGGCACGCAGCCAGTTCAAGAGCACATGGGGTAGAGTAAGGAGCCACTGTCTTTTCTCTCGAATATTCTCTTAAAACTATCTTCAAAGCACAAATTTTTTGTTCCCTTAAAAGGAGAGATACTCCATGAAGGGATCAAATATTCCTATAAATAAAGCTGAAAAGTGTCAAAATTAGAGGTATCAATTTTTAAAAATCTCAAAATCTTTAGTTTATTTCAGATCCCTTAAGATAAAATGACTAATTGTACATTTTATGTGCTAGAGAAGAATCATATATCTCCCTCTCCAACCTGACTGTAACTGCTGAACACTAAAAATTACTGGATTTGAAGATTACACTGCCAGTATTTCCAATTAAATGATAACAGCACATGACTTTGGTTGTTTGTTTTTTTTTCTTTTAATAAAGGCTGACCAAAGCAGACAAATTCCCAGAAGTGACAACAGTTGCAAAAGGTAACTGTCACTGGTTTCAGACTAGCTTGTTCAATAATGTTTACAAACCAAAGTTACGAAAACCTTGCTGTGGTGCAAACTATCCCACATCTTACTACTATTTGCACTTGCACTTTCCTTTTAAGCACCTGGGACTGACTAGTGCTGGATACAAAATTTTGATGTAAATGGATCATGATTTTGATACTTCATCATAATTCCTACCACCCTCAGAACTCTGGAAGAGTGCAGAGAGAGAGAATACAAGCTTTAAAACACTCCTGTATTACTGCAAGTATAAGGTACTTCATGGTAATTAATAAAAACGTATTCTTAGTGTTTAAGAGTTCAGTGCTTGCAAACTGTATTTTCACGGGCTTCTGCTACTAGCTTGGTTGAGATACAGTGGAAATTCATCACAGTGAGTGGGCACAAAGTTATATCATCAACTAGATAATTATACTTCCTGCATTTACTCTGGGACTGCTGGCATTTTGAATGATTAACTAGGACCAGGAGGGTTGGGGCAAGGACGTAGCGTGCAGAGCCTTTGCAGAAAGTCTGGCTGACACAGCTGTCAAAGAACATGTCTCAATCAGCAAGAAAACTCTACTATACTTCCAAAAGAGAGAAATACAGTATCACTAAATGCCAGCTAATCATCAACAGGTTGCTGTCTATCTTCACTCCTCTTGACTAGAGAATTCCCAACAATATCCAAACTTTACTTCCAGCACTGTCCATCTTAACTCTGTAGCTGATTATTTCAGTAGAGCACAAGAAAGTAGACAAGGCTCTATGTGTTCGTAAGGATCAGCCTGAATATTCTAGCTGTGTTGCTATACACTTTGATTAGCACTGATCAAAGACACCTACTGTAGTAATTCACAAAGAGCAGCTCACTTATTTTTGTAAAAGTTTACTATGGTGCAGTAAAATATAATTATTTGCAAAAAAACATGATTACAGACAATTTGAATTATTTACTCACCGGTGGGAAATCGAAGTCTATCTGGTTAGCTAAATTTAAGATGTAGTCGATTCGAAACTGGTTCTCTGGATTGGCTAGTTCAACTGGAGGTGCCAAATTGCCCATTGCTGTCACTATTGTCTGCAAAGAAATAAAAATAAAATACTGCAGATACTTGTCTGAATACCTAGCTTTGAATAATTGAAAACAATAGCTCATAAGTTTACCTCTATAGCTTCTTTAATATTGTTTTTAATATCTTGAATTTTCATTTTCTTCTCCCTGTAATAAAAAATACATTATTATTTATAAGCCATAAAAGCAGAATATCGCTTTGAAAAAGAACACAAACTTGAAAAGTATTATATCAAAACTGTACTGTCACTATTGACTAAACTGCTGTCAGTCACTGAACCACTTATGTACACAGACTTCAGTATCTCATAACTTTTCTACTTCAACAGTAAATATTTATGTATCTAATTATGCTGAATAAAAACTTAATTCAGTTTCAGACTAGGACTAAGACATTCTTCAAAATCAATCAGATTCCAATATCTGGAAGTTATTTAGAAAAGCATGAACTGGAAATAAATAGGGGAAGAAAAAAATGTGTAAGCTATTAAAAGTAGAACCAAATGAAGGGAGACTGAAGAACCTCAAAGTACAAAAAAATTAAAGGACAAAAATGATGTCATAGCAGAAAAGCTAGAGCAGAGAACTCAACCTGTCAGAGACATTCAAACTAACAGTTTGGACATAAAAATTAAAACAAATAATGAAAGGCTTATCCAAATATGTAAAATTACCTTTTAACCACAAGCAAAAGAGTAGGCTAGAAAACCACCTGGAATGCTCTATAGGAGCACTATCATTTGGGATTACATGCAGCCAAATTGAAAAGTTTAACAGGCTCAAGCAAGCTACAGAACAAACCATTGCCTCTACTATAGTTATATTGTATTTTATGTCAAATCTGACAATAGTTATTTTGAATGCTGAATAGTGCAATCAAATGAAATGCATGATCAAGCATCTGGTATAACCAGGAATTAGCATCCTCAAGGTATTACCAGCACTGAGTCTGTAAACTGTAACTTAATTGCAATACACTTTAACAAAATTCTTACATTATTCATTTCTTGCTATACACAGCATAAAATTACTACTTTGAGGTAAACCAAGTTAGCCATGTAATTACTAAAAAACCCCAGCTAAATTATCTAAGTGACCTTTTAATCTTCATTAAACTGTTTTTACAGAACACTTTAATTATCTGAATATTTATATGAACTATTTTTAATTTTTTTCAATTTGAAAACTAACATTTTCCAGCACAGTATCCCTAAGACTTTAAACTACCTACAGTATGTTTTCTTTTTTTTACCTTTAAAAGCTAGTGCTCATACCTTCAGCTTGAAAACCTCATTTTACTGAGTTAAGTACTCATATAGCAAATGCTTTTTATCACTTTTTCCTTTCTATAATTATTCACAGCCAACAACCAAAACGAAACTGAAAGCATATTCACCAATCAAGAATGCACAAGAACAGGAAAAAAAAGAAAAAAAAAAAAAAGAAAAAAAAAAGGGGGGGAGTACTGCTTAAATAAGACAGAAGCAGATATCCAGGAGCGGCGGGAATTCTGGTTAGTGAATGAAAGATCAATGCAACTTTTGTAAAAGATAGGGTCAAGGAAGACACCACCGTGCCAGCCGCACGTTCTGCTGCCTTTTAGATACAGACATGGAGGATCTTACGATACATTCTACAGTTGTGAAAGCATGATTGCAATGCAAAATGCTGTTCTTACTGATGGAAAGCAAACGGCATCAAATCATCTTGTTCAGGATGACTTAGCTGTGTAGAGAACACGTCTGAATCAGCAGCAGAACTCTACCAAACAGAAACACGATCATCCCTAAACACCAGCTCCTCATCACTGACCGTTGCATATATTATCAAAACTTTGGGGCAGGGAAAGGAAGGTCAGTGAAGCTTGATGCAAAAAGAAAATTAAATGATCAATAACCAGATGCAAATTCTCAAAAGACCACCTTATTCCTTAAGACTACCAGGTTTTTTTCTTTATGGATTTGGCACCACTGATGGGAACAAGGCAGTGAGCCAAGAAAGGCCAAAAGCACTGAACTAAGGAAAATAAATAAGACAGGAAAAGAGAGGAAAAACTGAAGCCTTTTCACCCTCTTCCTTCCAATCTTCAATGCTTCCTACTGGCCCAGGACTTAAGAATCCCCATTCCACAAATCAAGACTTACTGTAGGAGCACAAACACTATATTTTTCAGTTAGTGCACATATGGTTGCAAAAACATCAGCAACTCTCTATTTTTTAATGTTCCTTTAATTTAAAAAATGTAAATAATAGTATGAAAACAAGAAATATTTATCAATGACAGTGTAAGCAATTTGGCCTGATTTTGCCTCCCATTTTCAACTGGCTCTTGAACTTAATGAACATGTATACACATTCCACCCTTTGAGAACAAAAGGGCAGCTGATATGCTGAAAATTAAGCAAGATAGCAGTAGTTTTAAAAGATTGAGTACAGAAATAATATTGTCATTTTGCTTTGGTTTGGAATATAATTAGAAAGACAAAAGTTTAGAAAGTCTTCTAATTTATTTTTTTAAGCAAACTGTAGTTATATTCTCTCCATGGAACACTTGGGGATAACTGTCTCAAAACATCAGCTAAGTGCATATTTACCAACTCTTCCACACCATACAATAAAACATTTTTATTATACTTTGTCAAACTCTTCACTGATCCTCAAACTACTAGCAGCACTGCAAAGTGATAATGAATATGGAGCGATGTAAAACTCCGGCAATTAACAAACTGCTTGATAACCATCATCATCTTTACAACAGGAATACTCATAGTTCCTATTTCTGGTTTTGTTGCCATGGCCCTATAGCATGCCTGGTAAACAAGGATTCTTATTACAGAGCAATGAATGTATCGTGTCATTTTGTGTTTTGTAATGTTTACTAAGCATAAATTTTCCATGACAATGAGATACTTTATTCTTCTGGAACTCAACGTGTTCATCAATCACCTGCCCAACAGCTTGCATGCAACTGTAACTTCTCTTCAAATAAAAGAAAGATGAAACTCATTTTATTTCAGGACTAATTAAGTTCAGTGTACAAAAGCTAAGCCCCACCTTTGCTGTCCCTTTACTTGGCCAGAATTGTTTTGGAGAATCCCATCCAGGTTGCACCTGAGACTTCCAAAAGTAACAACTTTGTTTTTCCCAACTACGAAGACTGAATATTCAACTTAGAAACAGAGTCTTGTTTCTTTCTTTCGTATTCCCGAGTGCTGGCACAATGGTCAAAACTACAAAAGAAAAAAGCTGGGTTCCCAGTTTTCCTCTGGAACAGACTGAATAGATTGGGAATGGCACCATGCTATCCTGGCTAACAAACGACTGACTCTCTGCAGGCCTGTTCTGTATCTTTAGATGCCATGGGTTAATAAGGTCATATTTTTAATCTTGTTTAAAACTTTTGCTTAGGCTGTGTAGGGTAGGCCAAACAAAGCATTAAACTCTATTAGTTGAGGATTATAAGAAAAATCTCAAATCCTGCTGTTTTCAATATTTAAATGGGCCAAAGCAAAGCTGCACATAGCTTTCAGGAAAACTAATAAAGTCTATTTTAGGTACTATAAAAAAAGATGACATTTTAGTTCAAATAACATGAAATTAGAATGACATAAAAGGTCAGGAAAATCAAATATTCCTTGAAAACAAACCTAATCAGTATTTACTAAAGAACTTCTACACCTGTGGCTGAGCTTTACTATTAAAATGGCAACATTTTTACTCAGACTATCAAGTCTTATCCAATGAACATATTACCAAACAGATTATCAGAAAGCAAACTAATTTAATTTTCATGTTCATTTCTGATAATATGAACAACCATTACTTGGAACTTAGAAAAAATTATTTAAAGTTTAAAAATAACATTCCAGAGGATCAAGGATTCAGCTCACCCAGTATAAATATCTGACAGATAGAAAAGTTTTAAAAAATTGGTGCTGAATGGTCAAAACATGTTAAAGAATTAAAAAAAAAAAAAGAAAAAAGAAAAAAGTAGTAATAAATCCTGTCACCCCTTTATGCCATAAATCTAAATTCCTGAAAGCAAAGAAGTTTGAATTTCTTGGTCACTACTGACAGGTTAAGAACCTGTATGCCTTGCTGCAATTTTCTGTTCAAACAGGCAGAGTTTGGACAAGACTGAAGAGAAAAATACAAATAATTACCTAGTTTTAAATCAGAATGTAGTATAGTACTACTTCTTTCCAGCAAAACATAGATTTTATCAACTGAAATGAAGTGATATGTTTCTTAAAACCCTACAAATCCACAGCTGGAAAAGAATCTGAAGCATGCAGAGTGCAAAGCAACAACAATAGAATCTATTTTTTTTTCCTTTAGAAGTAAAGATAGTCATGATAATACAGCGCTCTCATTTTAACATATATCAGTTATCTCAGATAGCGGGAAAACCCTCCCCACATCTCCCCCAAATTCCCTGATTATATAGGAAACTCCACACTTTAGATGTGAGAATATTTTAGGAATCAAACATCAGATGTATCACGAAGAACACCGAAGAGCTGAATTTAATGCTGTGGGATGCATCACTTGAGTGAAAGTAAAAAGACTTTGATCAGATAACATGCAACAGAAAAAGGCTTTTAATGAGGCTTAATTATGATTGCCAATTAATCCCCCTATGAACATAGCCTAAAAAAAGGAACATGCCCTGGAACATGAATACTTACAATATGAATACAAAATATTGGAACATTCTTTGCATATGGCAGATATAAATGCTTTCATTTTTGGAAAATGTAATTTTCTTTCTCAATCTGTCTTTTAACACATGGTTTCCTATGTGCAGCCTTAGCATAATAAATAATGCCACATAATGGTTTGCAATTTAATAGTGTGTATACACTATTTCACCTCAGTGAGCCTGTCTAGAATCCTTAAGGGTATGTAACAGCACGGGCAGAGTACACCATGCGACACTAGGACACATACTTAAAATGACTGGCTTTCTATTATATAACAACTCCCCAAAACCATGTTAAAAATGTTCTTATTAATTATGTTCGCAATTTTTTGTAGTTCTCAGGATGCTGTTGCAAATAGTAAGAAAGCAAAAGCTTTCTCTTTAAACTCATATTGCAAAATGTACATGCCTGGAGAGTGTATATATATATACACCATTTTAATAG